TGTGTGTGTGTGTGTGTGTGTGTGTGTGTGTGTGTGTGTGTCTCCATGTCCCTTGTTCATGACCACGCACACTTTGCTTTTTTACGTTTGATACTTTTTCTAACTGCCTTTTTGTATATAAGTTTGATCAAATCCGTGATTATGTTGGACCAGGTATGGGTATACATTAATTCTGTATGTGTTTTGTATTATTGTTTTCATGTGGGCTCAGATGTATTCATTTGAAATTATGTAAAACATGTATGATATTATAGTGAATGAGTAGTTGTGCTGCCCTGTCGTTGTGCTTGAATTCAAACTATAAATTATGGTCGCTTTTAAGCACAAGGGAGCTATCCTGAAAAATGCTGTATTGAGGAAATAGAAAGTATCGTTTTGCCCCTTGTTCAGTTGCTTTAAAAGACAAGGAAAGTATTCTCTATATCTAAACATTTAAACACACCAATGAAACCAAACTTCTCCTATAGATTGAGCAATGCCCACTTTTGGTGCAGGTCAAGATTTTTGGAAACCCCCGAAATCAGGGTTAGCCCGCTTGTCCTTAAAGCCACAAAATGTCATAATAATAATAATATTATGTGAGCGTGTATGTGATTGTTAGTGTATAATATTATAAATACATGCCCTGTACAAAGACAAGTCAGTCTTATTTTTTTTTCTTCTCTTTTCATAGAAGAAAAATGGCAGTGGAAGAGATGGAGAAAATTAAAAAGTGAATAATGCTCTTATTCCAGAGAAGGGAATAGAATTGAACATTATGTGAAACTGGGCTCTTCCGCCAGCACAGAGGCATTACAGAGTACATTGACACGTACAAACTATGGCAACCTAGAGATAAAGGAAAATGTAGAAAACATTCCAAGCTGTCCTTTTTTCTACACGTGTGTTATGTCTAGAGAGAACAATTTTTTTTTATGGTATGTGTTTTTCGGCGCTCGCTTCTGCACAAGGTCATAATATTAGCGCGAAGGACATATTAAACTATTTCAGTTGATAGGAAATTTTGAATTTTGCCAGGGTGGCTGCCGAAGCCTACTCTTATCGATTTTAGACAACCAAGGGATCTTTAACGTGCGCAACTGGCACTCGTGCCCTCCGAGATTTTTCGCCCTTGTTTGAGTAGGCTACTCGTAGATCTTTCCTACCAGAAGATCAGGGGTGTGGCTGAAAGGCAGCAGTAAGAAGGAGCCAAGGAGAAGCAGTTGAAAGGCTGTTAAAAGAGTCAGGAGTGCAGAGGAGAGGGCATAGGAGGTGAGGGGTGGGGGCAGAAAGAGGAGACGAAAGCAGACGACAGAACATTGCTAGAGAGCAGGAAAGGAGGTGAAAGGAGACAATTTTAGAGAAGAAATTATTTTCGGTCGCTACCCGAATTCGAACTCGGGATCTTTGAATGAAAGGCGAACACCTTAACCTCTAGGCCAACCACGAGAACCCCCAAGAGAACATCGTGTGCCTACTCTCCAGCTGTTTGAGTGTACGCAATACCTGGGATACCTGTCACCTTTAACTCAAAGCTTGACCTGTGTAATGACACTCCATCCTTCACTGTTTGGCGCTCATATGACGTTATGCAGTTGCGAGCGCCGTAAAACCCTCTACTAAAACTTTAAAAACCCTACACTGTCGAGAGCTGCCGTTCCATAGTGCAAAGGCAGTGTGCCTAGCTGGAGTAGTAATGCACAAAGTGCAAAGTGTTTTGTTTTGATTAGTTTTAACGGTGAAAATAAACAAGATAAGAAATTGGTCTTGAACAACTAACTGTTTGACAAAATGGACATTTATGCAGTCTTGGTTACTGCGAAAGAGTCATAATATATAATATTTGATTAGGTTGAAGTTGATTATTGGTACATCAAGTAAATAAGAACATTACATTTTGGGAAAGATCTCCCACCTTGACTGGCATTAAGATAACACTTATGTTGCATTGGAAAACTACATGATTTATTGCACCACCCGAGGGTTTTTTGTGGGTTGTTGTGGGGTTTTTTTTTGGGGGGGGTTGGGTTTGTTTTGTTTGTTTTTTGTTTGCTGTTGTTTTTGGGGTTTTTTGGTTTTGCAATTTGTTTTTGCTTATTTGTTTGTTTGTTGTTGTTTTTTAAAGAGACAATCAACCAAACGATTTTCCCTCATACATGTATTTAAAAGTTACCATGCAATTTATAATGAATAAACAATCCATTCTAGATGAGTTCGTTGTATAAATTTCTCGGGTGATTGTGTGAGTCTGTTAGTGTATGGAAGGCGGAGAGGGAAAAAATGGAGTAATACTATTATTGCATCAGCGTACGTCAGAGATAAAGAGAGAGAAAAGGGAAGAGAAAGAGAGAGGGAGCGAGACACTTACACACTCACACACACA